GATTATAAAGCATTTTCTCACTAAACTTCTCCTAGGAGGAATAACCAACGGTGCAAAATGGTATTCTGTATCCGGTGGAATGCAAGATTTCAACTATCTCGCCACTAATGCTATGGAACTCACACTGGAACTTGGCTGCGACAAGGTGAGCTCCCAAAAAAAAAGTTTCCATTCCACAATAAAAGATAACTGGGACAAAACCTTTATTCAGAATGCAAGTTAACAAAATTCAAAATCTTACTGTTCCTCAATTTTGCTCAATCCTTCAATTTCAAATTTTCTTTTAATCAAAGAATGTCTTCAAAGCTTCCATTATTTGATTTTGACATAATGCAAGATTTGGTATAGTTGGTTTCATTTTTCAGATGCCTGACGGAAAAGATCTGCCACAATATTGGGAAGATAACAAGAAGGCCTTGAAGGAGTTCATGTTTGCAGTGAGTTAAACTTCCTAAACACATTTAAAAAAAACAATTTTCTTCACTTAATTACGTTCTGTGCCAACTTCTGAAAAAGAACTTGATCCGTTCCATCTTTAAGTAACTTGGATAACTCGCAAAATTGAAAGCTACTCTAAAAACGTTCGCCGATTCCTCCATTAAGGCAATAAAAACTTTTGTTTTGCCTGTTCTTGAAGAACAAAGAAAGCAAGAAAGTCGCGAATTGACTAGTGGTTCTTCATGATTAGCTTTTTGAAGGAAGTAGTTTTACACCTGTCTGAGAGGTTGAGCAATTTGACTGATGTGGGCCAAAGAATAAAGACAAATATTCGCGAATGAGTAATTAGAAATGGAACAGAGGTCAAAGAATATGTTAAAAAGCTTGTTGTCCGTTCTTCTGTATAATTATGAGATATAAGCCTTAAAAATATCCCATGCGATCAGCAAATAATCAAGTTGGCTATCACGCAAATGTCATTCCTTAGCCCCTAAAAGAATTTCATAACATAAGACATGTTCCATATTTATGAATGTTTTATTTTTTACAGTTCAACACATAGATTTTGGACAATTAGCTATTTACAAAATACATTTTTTGCGTAAGATTTGATGATTATTTTCCTTTTAAAGCTTCCAGCTTTTATCCGCATATTTATTCTTCAAGTTTCTATAAAGCAACCCACTGCACCACATTAACAAAATGAAAAATTTAGTCCCATGCTGGAATCAAAGGTCTGATAACCGATGCTGTCACTGGTGTGCCAATCAACGATGCTATCGTATGGGTTCGTAATGGTACCGATCCAA